CCTTACACAGCACACAACTACAGTACATTTACTTATAAAAGCACAATGTCCCACTTATTATTGGCCTGTCTATGACATGCATAAATAGATCATGAGATCCACTGATAATACAGGAAAAAAAAAAGAGATAATTGCTACATTTTTTCTAATGTTCATTAAACCTAATATGAATCATTCACAACCCACCATCTATGCTACTTAAAAGTATCCATGTTGTTATTAATAACCCCTAAGCCTCTTAATAAAGACCTTGTAATCCTTTCAGCTAAAAATAAGCCCTCGGCTCCAGTCGGGCAGAATGTCAGTTTGTTGAAGCAAATTCAATTTGCGATATATTTTCAGCCACGGCTTAAGTCCATCACCAGTGTCAAAGAGTGCAGAACTGCGGAAAAGCGCACTTGCGTTGATTTAATTAGAGTTCGGTGAAAGACCATGGGGGGGAAGATTCGCGCCATAGTTGCGACGACTTCACCTGATGTTTCACCAGAGATAAATATAGATTAGCAATATCTTAAGCCGATTTTGGGTACTGTATGGGAGAAGCAATTTGAAGAAGTTTAAAATAGCGACATCTTTATATAAGCTAGTCACATTACCATTTGGCTTCCGTAAAATATTTTAATAATGATTTTTTTTCTTAAGTAACATTTACGCTATATTTAAGGATATTGATACTTTGTTCTATGTTTAGTGAAAAAAAATTATTTACTCATTGATAAATTAAAATTTTTAGTAGAATCACTTACAGATATTACAGCAAGAAAAAAAATAATTGCTGCTTTTTTGCCCGTTGTTCAATATTCCGAATGTGAATCATTTACAACTCAACATCTATGCTACTTAAAAACAAGACTATTTTATAAATAACTATATTGTAATTAATAACAGTTACAATTCTTAACAAAAACCTTGTAATATTTTCAGAAATTAGAAGACTCAATGGTTATTGTTAAAATGTGTGAGAAGAATCCCGTTTAGGCAATCTGACTGCTTGGTTGTAGTATTTGGGTGTTTTCCTACAAAATACACAATTCCGGGACATATACTCATAAATGGACAATGACCCCTATATTTCGATCATCATTGGCCTGTCCATGACATACATAAAAAGAACATGATATCCACTGATATTACAGTAATTAAAAGGATAATTACTACTTTTTTCTGAGGTTCAGCAGACCTAATATGAATCATTCTTAACCCACCATCTATGCTACTTAAAAATATCCATGTTGTTATTAATAACCCCTAAGCCTCTTAATAAAGACCTTGTAATCCTTTCAGCTAAAAATAAGCCCTTGGCACTAGTCGAGCAGAATGACAGTTTGTTGAAGCAAACTCAATTTGCGATATATTTTCAGCCACGGCTTAAGTCCATCATCAGTGTCAAAGAGTGCAGAACTGCGGAAAAGGGCACTTGTGTTGATTTAATTAGAGTTCCGTGAAAGACTACGAAGTTGCGACGACTTTACCTGATGTTTCACCAGAGATAAATATAGATTAACACTATTTTAAGCCGATTTTAGGTACTGTTTAGCAGAGGCAAATTGAAGAAGTTTAAAATAGCGACATCTTTATATAGGCTAGTCACATTATCTTTTGGCTTTCATAAAATACTTTAATAACAATTTTATTTTTGATTAAATACCACCTTAGATATATTTAAAGGTATTGACACTACATCATGCGTTTAATGAAATAAAATCTACTCTAATTAAATTTTGTTGTAAAAACATCTACAGATATTACAGCAAGAGAAAAAATTGCGACTTTTTTTCTGTTGTTTAACATTCCTAATGTGAATCATTTACCAACCACCACTTATGCTACTTAAAAAAGGTACTAATTTAAAAATGTTCATGTTATTATTAATAACCGTTAAGCCTCTTAATAAAGATCTTGTAATCCTTTCAGAAATTAGGAGATTCAATTGTGATTGTTAAAATGTTGATAAAGACTCATTTTGACAATCTAACTGCCTGGTGTTAGTTTTCATGGGGTTTCCTACACATCATATAAATCCAGGACAATTATTTATAAAACGACAATGCCCCCTTCACATCGATCATCATTTGTCTGTCCACGACATACATAAATATACAAAAGATGATATTTCAGAAAAAAAAACATAATTGCTACTTTTTTTCCTGCTATTCAGCAAACCTAATTTAAATCATTTACAACTCACCACCTATGCTACTTAAAAACGAGACTAATTTAAAATATACATGTTGTTATTAATAACCCCTAAGCCTCTTAATAAAGACCTTGTAATCCTTTCGGCTAAAAATAAGCCCTTCGCTCTAGCCGGACAGAATGACAGTTTGTTGAAGCAAATTCAATTTGCGATATATTTTCAGCCACGGCTTAAGTCCGTCACCAGTGTCAAAGAGTGCAGAACTGCGGAAAAGGGCACTTGTGTTGATTTAATTAGAGTTCCGTGAAAGACCACGGGGGGAAGATTCGTGCCACAGTTGCGACGACTTTACCTGATGTTTCACCAGAGATAAATATAGATTAGCACTATCTTAAGCTGATTTTGCCCAGTGTTTAGGAGAAGCAAATTGAAGAAGTTTAAAATAGTGACATCATTATAAGGGCTTGTGAAATTATTGTTTGACGTTCATAAAATTGTTTAATAATAATTTTATTTTTACTTAAATAACACTTTAGATATATTGATACTTCATTGTGTGTTTAATTAAATACAAATTATTATTATTTTTTAATCTAATCTATAATCTTGTTAGACAGGGACTCTACACTCATGTTAGATGCTCAACAATTATGTTAGACAGGTAACTACAGTTTAAATGGGACTTCGAACCTCTGCAAAACCCATGGTATCGAACACGAAACCTGTGACACTGAGCGACTGAGTGCTAGTCACTCAGCCATCAGATTCCAGTAGCTGTTCCTTAGATGTCAATTTGTATCAGATGGTGTCCTAGACGTCACTTTATGTCGGATAGTCTGCTATATTTCAATGTGTATCAGACAGTCCCCTATGTCAGTTCGTGTCAGAATGTAGCCTAAATATAATTGCATATCAGGCAGTCTTTTAAATGTTCATTACGTTATGTTAAATATATGTTCGTATCATGTTCGCCTAGATGTTAATTCGTGCCAGGTCGTCTCCTAAATGTCAGTATGGTGTGTTCCCAAGATATTAGTTCGCTCTAAATTGTGATGCTATGTTGGTGCAGAGTAACATATTTACATTGTATACAATGCTAAAGGCTGAAATTGGTGGTGTTTGACAAAACAAACTGGCGATTTTCGAAAACATAATACCATATAATTGTGGGTAATTATTTGGGCTTTCAACTAATTTGAGTATATTCATACTTCTCTGTACCAATATACTTAAGCAATACTGTATCAATATACTTATCTTTTTTTATTAATATTATTCTGAATTGTCTAATTATTAAAGTCTATTGTGGAGATCTTTAATAATGTAAATTACTTCAACAAAGAAATAGAAGATACCAATATTAGTCTCGTACTACACATTGTTCAAGTTAAGATAACTTAATCAGTATTGTAACCTTATTGAAAGACACAAAATTTTCCAAATATTGCAAATCAAAAATCATCCCATATATCATGTCATCTATATATAAAACGAACTCCTTACATTAGTGTCAAATGTAAGAAATGAATTGGACCATTTGTTTCAAACTTTATGCACCATAAAATCATAATGAATGCATAGATTTAGATAGTACCATTTTATTTATAATTCTAATCCTTCAGTCTTTTTTACTAGCTCATTGAATTGTTTTCGTTAGGAATATACCAAACAAACAAATATTTTTTTCCATTATTAAATTTGTCTTAGTTATTAATATACAATCAGAAATGTTTTATATAAGTTAAATGAACAAAATATTGTTTAAATTTAATTATCACCAGCTATTTGTCATATAATTATACAGATGAAAGCACAGTAATGCGTTTATGTAAATTAATTATCTGCTTGAATTATACTAATTAAAATTTTTTCCAAGTAAATATCTACGACAAAGTAGCTAAGTGTTCCTTTGTAATGAATGTCATCCACTTTCTAAGTATTTTTTTTTTCTGTTGGAAGAAAGTATTTTTTCAGATGAATCGCCCAATCCATTATCTTGGGACAAGAGAAAGTAAAGTGCAACGTTCAATTTGTGGCCATTTAATAAATAATGAATGGCCATTTCAAGTTTTCAGAGTGACGCTGGAGCTATAATCACTGCCTGCCTACTGAAAATTAGAAGCGATGTTAGTTAAGAGTTTCTGAATCTTTTTTTTTTCCATTGAGTTGTAGAAATAGTTGAATCCGTGTATGCTCTGAACATTGAGATATTGCTTAAATTATTGTATATTCATAACGAATGAATTTGGCAATGTTAACATTGGTTTTAAAAATAAATTAAATTTAAAAAAGAAAACTGAAAACTACTCGGCAAATTTCATTTTATCATGTGTGAACATTTGAGAACGGCATGCTTCCATACTAATATACCACGTTACAGTGTGAAATTAACGGCGATTGACTTCAAAACAAATTGGCGATTTTTGACAATATAATACCACATAATTTTGATTAATTATTTGGCCTTTCATCTAATTTAGGTGTATTGATACTTCTATATATCTTTAGCATTTTTAGATTAATGTTATACTGAATTAAGTCACCTATTGTAGAGATCTTTAATAATGTAAATTACTTCAACAAGGAAAAAGAAAATACCAACTATCATTCTTGTATTATACCTTATTCAAGATGACATCATAATAAATAATGTGATATTACTGAAAGACACAAAATCTTTCAAATATTGGAAATCCAAAATCATCCGAGATATCATGACATTTATATAAAACGAACTCATTGCATTAGTGTTAAATGTAAGAAATAAATGGGCATAATATAGTAATTTATTTCTATGTTAGCATAAAATCTTAATTGATACATACATATGAATGTTATAAATATTTTTAATAATTTTTTGGCCAACGGCCGTACCATGCTGAATATACCGTCTCTTGATAGATCACCGAAGTCAAGCATCATTGGGCGCGGTCAGTACTTGGGTGGGTGACCACCTGGGAACACTGCGTGCCGTTGGCAAATTTGGGACCTGAATGGCCGAGTGTCTAGCGCTCTGGCGCTCGGTGCCACAGGTTTCGGGTTCGAATCCCGGCGGTGCCATGGATGTTTGTAGCGGTTCGGAATAAACTTTAAGCCGTAGGTCCCGGTCTCCTATGACTGTAAGAGCGTCACGGAGCAAAAGTCATGACGGGTGCTCCATCGCAACAGAAGCTGCTTCCTTCCCCTTCAATCATGAGCACGTATGGGTTCGTGGGCTTGGCCAGCCAAGTGGGATAAGAAACAACAACAATATATATTTTTGTATAATTATAGTCATTCAGTCTTATTTAGTACCTCATTGAATTGTTGCCTCTAGAAATAAACCAAACAAAAAAAACCATCAATAAAATAACTTTTTCTTCCATTATCAAATTTGCCTTTGAAATTTTTAATATACAATTAAATTATTTTATATAATTAACAAAAATATAGTTTAAATTTAATTATCGCCAGCTATTTGTTATGTAATAATACAGATGAAAGCACAGTAATGCTTTTATGTAAATTAATTATCTGCTTGAATTATACTAATTAAAACTTTTTCCAAGTGAATATCTACGACAAAGAAGCTAAGTGTTCCTATGTAATGAATGTAGTCCATTTTCTAAGTAATTTTTTTTTTGTTAGAAGAAAGTATTTTTCAGATGAATTGCCCAATCCATTATCTTGGGACAAGAGAAAGTAAAGTGTAACGTTCAATTTGTGGCCATTTAATAAATAATGGATGACCATTTCAAGTTTTCAGAGTGGTGCTTGAGCTATAAATCATTGCCTGCCTACTGAAAACAAGAGGTGTTGTTAGTTAAGAGTTTTTGTATTCCTTTTTTCCATTGAGTTGTGGAAATATTTGAATCCTTGTATGCTCTGAACATTAAGATATTTCTTGAATTAACAGATATTCAAAATGAATGAATTTGGTAAATGGTAGCATTGGTTTTAAAAATAAATTAAAATAAAGGAAATAAGTTATACGTTCATTTATGTCCATTTGGTTAAATCTTTTTATGAAATGATGTAGTTGAGCAATGATGAAAAAGAATTATAAATTTATAGTGGAAAAAAAAAGATTAAAAATTTTATTAAAAATATAAATAAAAACTGAAATTTATTTCAACTTATGTGTGAACATTCGAGAACGGATGAATATTCCAATGCTTAATAATGCACGAGATGTTGTTGTTATCGTGTCCATGGATTTAAAATATTATTAATAAAGTTAGATCAAGTCAAAAGTCTTCACGATAGCTGCCGCTAGCAATGGCGCCGCTTCACTATACAGGACTTCTCTTAAGTTGGCGCCATACACAATTGCAAAACATGGAGAGTGAGTGCTTTTAGTATGAAGTCTAGAATGTGTTTAGGTGTCAGGAAACCGTTGGGGAACATTTTGCGGGGGATGTATTCCCTGGTCTTGTCTGGGAGAATCTTCATCCCTCTGTAATGATTAGTACTGAGTCTGCTAATAACTGATGTCAACTTCCTAGGGCATTCGAGATATTATGACAATTATATAAAACAAACGCATTACTTTGGTGTTAAATGTAAGAAATAAATGAGCTCATTTTTTTCGATTTTTATGCACCATAAAATATTAATGGAAACAAGTGTAGATATTATCCTTTTTTTTATAATTATAGCCCCACAGACTTTTATATTAGCCCATTGAATTGTTGACGTTAGAAATAAACCAAACAAGCAAATAATTTTTCTTCCATAATCAAATTTGTCTTTCAAATTATTAAAATACAATTACAATGTTTTATATAAGTTAAATTAACAAAAATATCATTTAAATTTAATCACCACCATCTATTTGTTGTGTAATTATACATATGAAAACACAATAATGCTTTTATGTAAATTAATTTTCTGCTTGAATTATAATAATTAAAACTTTTTCCAAATATACATCTACGACAGAGAAGCTAAGTGTTCCTTTCTAATGAATGTCATCCATTTTCTAAGTAATTTTTTTTTTCTGTTAGACGAAAGTATTTTTCAGATGAATCGCCCAATCCATTATCTTGGGACAAGAGAAAGTAAAGTGTAACGTTCAATTTGTGGCCATGTAATAAATAATGGATGACCATTTCAAGTTTTCAGAGTGGTGCTGGAGCTATAAATCATTGCCTGCCTACTGAAAACAAGAGGTTGATGTTAGTTAAGAGTCTCTTGATTCTTTTTTCTCCATTGAGTTGTAGAAATTCTTGAATCCGTGTATGTTCTGAACATTGCGATATTGCTTAAATTAATGCATAATAAAACATTGCCAGCATGTTAGTAACACAAGTAATATAAATTCAACAAGTAATATAAAGTCAATTCCTACTTTTATCTCACTCTATTGCAATAAGTCCTTCATAAATAATTTCATTCACTTTTTTTAAGTTTATCTGGCGCCATCTATTGGTAGATATATACAACTTAAGTCTAAAAAAAAAATTAAAATTAATTAAATTTAATTAATGAATTAATATTTGAAAAAACTGTATTAACATCAAGTGCCATGCACTACAAGTTAAAAAAATGTATTTCAACTTGAGTGGATGAATAAAAAGTATTTTATGATCGATTGAAAATTTGTACGGTATATAAACTCGTGTTTGTGAAAATTGCAACACCATGAAGGAATCGTCATAATTGAATGAAATTTAATACACAGTTGAGTGATAGTAGTACAAATAAATGATTAAATGTTCAAAGCAAACAAACAATAACAAGAGATCAGAATCAGTATTTTATGTAGCCACCACGCGCCGCAATAAGTGCTGCTACATGACATGGCGTCAAACAAATTTTGAATGTCTGCCTGAGGAAGAGCATTCCATACTGTTTGTATGCGCACCCAAAGTGCGTCTGCAGAAGCAAAAGGACGAGGATCACGAGCGAGACGCCGACCAACGAAATCCCACACATGTTCAATCGGCGACATATCCGGGGAATACGCAGGCCAAGGAAGAAGCCGTAACCTGCCGCGTTCCAAAGAAGGATTGAACAGTCCTAGCGATATGAGGGCGGGCATTGTCCTGTTGAAATACAGCACCTGGCAAGCTTTGAAGGAAGGGAACAGCTTGGGGCTATAGAACTTCACTGATGTACCGGTTGCTGTTCAGATTGCCCACAATTCTTAGCAATTGAGATCGTCCATGATATGCTATGGCACCCAAGACCATAACTCTGGGTGTTCGTCCACTGTGGCGTTCGATAATGCACTCCGGAAGGTGGCGTTCACCGGCATAGCGTCTGACGCGAATGCGGCCATCATGGTACCACAAATTAAAGCGGGATTCGTCAGAAATCCCGACATGCTGTCAATCAGCACGCCAGTCTCTATGCTGAGCGGCCCATTGTAGCCGCAGGCGGCGATGGCTTAGCGTGAGAGGGATCCTGTATAAAGGAGTCCTTGCGCGCAGTCCACGCTGCAGCAGACGTCTACGAAATGATGAAGCACACAATGAAACACCTGTAGATATTGACCACTGTGCTGCCAATTGTCTAGAGGAATCTGTACGGTCCGTCAGCGCCCTGCGGACCAGGTATCTATCATCGCGAGCTGACGTCACATTTCGGGGTCCACTCCCGGACTTCCGAGTTGTCCGACACTCGTCCGTCCACTGCTTCCAAAGACGCATCACTGTGCTGCTCATACGTTGCACACGAGCGGCTACTGCACGATAAGACAATCCAGCTTCACGAAGGCCGATGATTCTCCCTCATTCAAACTCTGTAAGTTGTTCAAATCTGGCTCTATTTCGTCGAAAAGGCATAAGTAACGATTGAGCTAACGTTTACCACTAGCAGATAACCACCGATAACCATGCACGCCTCGCTACAGCCGTCTATTTATTCGGATCCATCCGCCGTTCAGAGGGCGCTGCTCAGCATACGTATGCGCTACGGATTTGAAATTCTAATTTTTTGCATATCATGCGCTAATTTGCATTTCCTGAAAATTTCAACTCACTCTTGTAAGTCCTTCATGGTGTTGCAATTTTCACAAACATGAGTTTATATATAGGGAGAGTGTGAGCTAATAGAAGGAACTGAATGAATGAATTTGATAAATGGTAGCATTGATTTTAGAAATTAAAATAAAAAATAAAACTGAAATCTGCTTGGCAAATTTCAACTTGTCATGTGTGAACATTCGAGAACGGATGAATAAACTCAGAAATATGTCAATGCTTAATAATGCTCGAGGTATATGAAGCAATTTATTGGAATACTACAAGAAGGGCCAAATTCAATAGCCACATGAATATAACAATATTGAAACGATCAAGAACTTCGTGAAGAATGAATTGTCCAAGAATCTTAAAAAATAATATACAAAGTAAGATAAATGTCGTCCTAAATGAAGAATGAAATATTCCAAATTCTACAAGAATCACTATCACATTTAATAGCCAAAAGAATATATCAATGTTTGAAAATTCTAGGAATAAATGACGAATGAAGTATTCAAATACAATAAGTAGTAATGCCAAAAGTGATAAATAGGAAACTTCAAAAAGAAGGAATTGATCAATGCACTACGAATACTTATAGCCATTAGAAACACGATAGTTTAAAATCCTAATCCAAAACATGAAAAGTGATTCAAAACCATACTACAAAACACTTCAATCAAAAGCCAAATTCTCCAGAAAATTTCTGAAGACTAACATTATTCATGAATCATTTCAGGAGTTAAAGGAGTTTACCATTTTCCACAAAAATTTGCAATGAAGTTTTATTTACCTGACCCTCTTGTTTGGATAATGTCACGGACCAATAACCAGTAGACACTAACCAGTAACACACATAATAAAAACTTGAATACAAATATTTTGTCAAATTTTGTTATCTGTAGTATTTTAAGCACATTTGGATAAATCTAGACAAAGTAGCCTCAACAAGCATAGATCTCAAAGCAACTAATCAAGTCAAGACATGTCTTGAATACAAATAATTAATATTCTGCATCAGCTTAATG